GCTCTGTAACTAGTCATCTGAAGGAGTTTGAGGACCCCAAACACTCAACTCTGACATAAACCCCCTTGTTTGATAACTGACATCAACAGACACCAACAGAGAACAAATTTGTTTTCAAATAGTTTAAACAGTGAGATTTTTTTCAATTTTGTAATACTTACCTACAATTTAATTACAATTGTGATTTTTTTATCTATTTATCCATAAATAATTTCCTGTTATAATTATTTGTGACCCTCTTTAGTATCTGCTTGTGACCTTATTGTAAGTTTATTTATAATTTGTATGCATTTGTTAAATGTTGAGGTTAAAAAAAGGTCAGGCCTAAGGGCCCGGCCGGACTACCTCTGATGGGCTGATTCTTTGGGCTTAATGTGGATTTGTTGATATCATTAATATTTGAGTATACTCCAACATTGAATATCATTGTAAAAAATGATAGGTTTATAATAGGAGTTGGGACCAATACCTAGTAGCTATAGTTCCTAGGCTCTATTTAAAACCCGTTAACTCTAAATTAGACCTGATCTTTCCCAAAACAAATGGCCATAGAGTTAAGGTTATGCATGGTGCATGGTCTGATTAGCCCATGAAGGTTATGGTCCAAGTAATTTTATAAAAAAAAAAAATCTTTCTATCTATATGTTGAATGCATGGTGCATGATCTAATTTGCCCAAGTGATATAATGCAAAAGTAAAAGTTATTGATATGCGAGTATAGTCTCACATTAGATAGGATAAAAAATGACGAGTTTAAAATAAAAGTTGGAATCAAATGCCTAGTAGCTATATCTTTTTGGTAAAATTCCTATTCTTTATTTAAAGTCTATTGACTCTACATAAGTCCCGACTCTCCCAACAGTATTAGCCTCAAGCAACCGGGTATCAGCCACTTGGAATTCACAATTGGGAATAACTCAAAGATGGCGATGAAATAATGGCCAAGTGGATTCAATTAATTCAATTAAATTGGCAATTGGGAACAAGGAACATGTGAATCCCTTCTTTACTCCTATAACCGTCAAACCTACAAGCTTGGATTGAAAGGGGAAAAAATGTGCAGCAGACGTGATAGACTTGCTCCATGCTTGTTAATTTGAATCAGCCAGCTACTCTTTTTTAGTTCCTTTGCAACATGTTTCAGTAATTAGGTTTGTAGAAAGATCATACGCAACACAATTCTCAGTCCTAAAAGAATTGAGCAATGTTCCTCTAATCGGGTTTGATTGTCAATTTGACCGGATCCAATTAGGCTAAGGGTCCTTACTGGATTGAATTTGCATTGGGTTGGATCCCATGCCCAACTGCAAATGGGAGCATTATGTGGTTCACAAGATGGAATATAAATTGGAGTTTTTTTTAAAAAAAAAACATTTTTGCTAAATAATTAGAAAAACCGACGGTTTTGCTAATTATTTAACAAAAACGACATCTTTTTGGCCAACAGACCAAAAAGATGTCGGTTTTGAAAAACAGCCGATTCGAAACATACAGGACTACTAATCCCGTATGTTTAGTCGCCATTAATTGGCAACTAATCACGCCACAAAAATCTACGGGGCTACTAGTCCTGTAGATTTTTGTCCTACTTCAGCCGACGCCTAGCAAATTGAACTCAAAACCGAATGCTCATGACCCAGACTCATGAGTTTTGCATGCCTCTCAAGACTATAGTATACGCGCTTCAAATTGAAATCAAAACTAAATGCTCATGACCCAGACTCATGAGACTCATGTGTTTTGCATGCCTCTCAAGACTATAGTATACGTGCTTCTCTATCTCTCTCTCTCTCTCTCTCTCTCTTCCTTCTTTGTATGGATCCAACTGACCCCAACTCCGATCTCTTCTTTGATGCCCTGGACTCCTTCGAAACCCGTAAGAAGAAGAAGAAGAAGGACAAGGAGAAACCCTAGGTTCACCCGAGCTCATCAAAGCCCTCTCCCTTGACCCCCCTCCCCCTTCCCCTCCCTCTCTCCTCCACCTCCAACAGCCGCAGCAAGATCCTCCACCGATCACGGCACGACCCGTCGTCGCAACTCTCGCGTCCCTCGGTGGCGCCAGCTAGTCAATCGACCGATGTTCCAAGAGATGAAACCCCGGAGGTCCTGTCACTCCTGTTCTCAATCGCTGGGTTCGTCATCAAGTCCATCCTTTTCCAGCTCAATTTGCTCATTTTTTTGCCTCGAAATCCCTTTCAGATTGCCGAAGGTTTCCTTTTTGGCGGCGACTGATCCTTTTAGGACCGCGAACAAGGCTAGAAATGCTATGGAGGAGAGATTCTTGTCAGTTTGGAATGGTTTGGTTGGGAACCGACATGATTTGGGGAAATTTGTGGGGGAGATTTGCTCTCGTCTGCTTTTGGTGGGCTTAAGTGAGATCAAAATCTACGGGACTAGTAGTACAGAAGATTTTTGTGGCGTGATTAGTCGCCAATTAATGGCGACTAAGCATACGTGACTAGTAGTCCCGTATGTTTTGAATCGACTGTTTTTTAAAACCGACCTCTTGTTGGCGAAAAAGATGTCGTTTTTGCTAAATAATTAGCAAAACGATCGGTTTTACTAATTATTTAGCAAAAAAGTTTTTTTTAAAAAAAAACTTCAATATAAATTGGTCGGAGTGGAAAAGGGAAAAAGAAAGGTAAGGTATCAACTTTACGGGTGGAAAAGAAAGAGGAAAGGCATCTCGTCTCATTATTCTTCTGACGTGATGTGTATCCATGTGTTTTAACAAATTTGCTCCGCAATCATCCTATCTAAAGTCCAAAGGTCTTAAGCTACAACAGCCTTGTTACTCAACAAGAAAAGAAAAGGGGAAAAAAAGTTCAACAAAAGGAAGAAAATAGTCACCTGTAGTCGAAAATTCAACCCCACAAGCTGGCACGCGATTAGATTCCCCCAGTCAAATTTATCAAACCTCCACCATTCAAGTATCAATCAATCATTACCCAACATTAACAGTTCCAAATTTAACCCTACCAAATCTAAAGTTGCCATCATCATTATCGAACATGGTTGCCACCCGCAAAGCTACAAATAATAATAATAATAATAACTCTCCTCCAACAACCCCAAACTAACTCTTCATATATAAACACACGAACTACACTCAGATCACAAACTCAAAAAAAAAAAATAGACGCAAAATCAAGACGATGCTCATCAAGCCTCTCCTCCTCTTACTATTATTCGCCCTCACCCTCCCCCAAACGAATGCGAGACGACGTCCTCCCTCAAAATCCAACTTGCCGGCCCAATTTTTGCGCCCGCATAACGCGATCCGGGCCTCTATCGGGCTTCCTCCGTTGTCATGGGACCCAAGACTAGCCCGTTACGCCCAACAGTACGCGCGAAAGCGCCAGCGGGACTGTGCACTGGCCCATTCCAACGGCCCATACGGTGAGACATCTTTTGGGGGAGCGGATCTGGCTGGAGCCCCGCCCAAGCCGTGGCCCAATGGGCCGAGGAGCGGAGATGGTACCGTTATAGGACTAATTCTTGTGCTCGAGGAGATGAATGCGGGCATTATACTCAGATCGTATGGAGCCGGACTAAGAGGCTTGGATGTGCGATGGTTAATTGTAAAGGGGGAAAAGGGGAGTTTGTTGTTTGTAACTATGATCCTCCAGGCAATTATGTGGGAGAGAAACCATACTGATGAGAAAATATTTTTGTTAAATGAGCTATCAAGAGATTGAGCGAGCCTGAGTTTTCATCCAGAATTCTCCCGGTGATGTACATGTTATGGCTATTTTAATATAAAACACCAAATTGTGATTATAAAATGATTAAACATCGGATTCGTTTTTTAATGTGTATATGTGACATTAATAGTTAAATGATTGGATACAGAGTGGCATGTGAGGGATTCAGAGTGCTGCCTTTATGAAGGGTGTCATACAAAGTAAATGGGTGGTGTTGAATTTAGAGGTCATGTACTATTGAATGAGAGGTCACATTATTAACAACGTCTGTAACATGAGGGGAGCATGTTTTGGAGCAAGAATCTATCTACCTTGAAAAAGGGTGGGC